AATCTGAGGTTCGACAATCGGCCTGACCCTCCTTTCGAGTACCTTAGAGTAAACTTTCCCGGGGAGGCTGAGTAGTGTGATGCCTCTGTAATTGGCACACACCCTCTGATCCCCCTTTTTAAAAAGAGGAACCACCACCCCGGTCTGCCACTCCTTCGGTACTGTTTCCGACTTCCACGCAACGTTGATGAGACGTGTCAACCATGCATAACTAACTCGGCAATCCAAATTCAATTAGCCTGAAACAAATTAATATATATTTTGCATTTAGTGACCTAGACCTCCAGGAATAGCTTCAGGTTAGATTGAATTGTCTGAGTGGACCTTGAAACTCAATAATTGTCCACTCTATTGCTTGGCTTCTAAGTAAATCAACAGGTGAGGGGAGACGTGAGCGTTGTCAGAAATAAAAACTGTGGTCGGATAGAAATAAATCTTTTTTTAATTTATTTTATAAGATTATGTTTCCTTGAATTCACTAGTAGTCTGTTATAACTACATTGTATTTATTCTTTAGTTTGTGACAGCAGCACAACAGTGGAGACATAAAACTTGCAGGCACTATGTCACTCTTTAATCAATATTGTCATTGTTGTGAAATGTTCATTCTGTAGTGCCTCCAGCAGGACTTTTTCACTTGTCTTGTGAAATATTTAAACATCTACCAAAACTATTTGCAATACATTATGACTGACATTGTTGATTCCTGTTGGATTAATCGTAAAAATGGACTCATCATGCAGGAGGTTGGGCTTGGACCTGTCGAAAGTGTTTTTTTGTACACCAAGTGGGACACAGTACACTATATTGAGTAGCTTTGCTGTGTTGTACTATTTGTTGTAATGTTGTTTTCTAATGGGTAGCAGAGTGGATTCTGGATGCACTTCTGGTTTAGATTTAAAGAGCTCGTTCAGTTTGCACATTACTATTTATACCACTATTTCCCCAATCCTACATTTCATTGTGATGGAGAGCCTGTCTACCTCGCTGAGCCATTAACAGAATGAGAGCATTGTAAATCTCCTGGTTTACTGAGAGAACGTGCACAGTGTTTTGCTGATATACATCCAGCACCACTGATCAACCTTTTACATCTCAAATGTAACACCAAGAAACGTTTGCCTTTTTTTAAACTAATATTTTGTACTGTTGCTATCAACAGACGATGGCAAACTATTTGTTATAAGTGTTTGAGCGTGAAATTCGAGAAGCTTGTATTTCTTTTATAATACTTGTCGCAGTTTGCCTATAGCTCACCCCTCCTCGCTTCCTTTCCTTTGTCTATGTTCTGTCTGAAAAAAGCAAGGACATGAAAGAAGATTGAAAAAAAGCACACACACAGCAGGCATGGAGAATTGATGTTGGAAATGTTCTATAGGGACCTGGATGGACAAATAAAAGTTGAAAAAACACTAACCTGATGTTACCGCCACCACAAATTAGCTGTAATTGTGTAATCGCCAATCACTCAGCTGCATCACCAGCAGCTCCCACAGCAAAATCCATATCAGACACCCCCTCAGGTAATTGAGGAAATTGGTCACAGACTAAATGTCCCGATGTTTGATCTACAGTCGGGGAGCTAAAGTATGGGGACATGTTTAAAAAAAAAAAAGGGAAATCCCCCACCTGCATCCATTTTTTTTATTTTTTTTTTAAAAGTGGCGGCATACAATAAGTGCAATATCTGGGAATAGCAAGCTGGGATGGAGGTTTTGCCAAAGTAGCTTTTTGTATCATGTTCAATTTCAGTATCAATTTGCTATCAATATTTATTTAGACTGAAAAAGTCTGGGTTGTAAATGTCTGACGTGTAGTCTGTTTTTTTTTGTTTTTTTTAAATGAATTTTAGGGAATGACACTAGACTGTGTGGAGATTTCTCTGGCACGCGTCTTTGAGAGTGGCCAGGCTTACGTTGCCTTGTCCCGTGCTCGCAGCCTGGAGGGTCTGCGGGTGATGGACTTCGACCCCCGTGTGGTCAGGGCGGATCCAGATGTTCTCATCTTCTACAAGAGACTGAGGAAGGAGAGGATCCTCATGCAGGTGAGTGCAGAGCTCTCATGGAATACATCCTATTATAATTTATTACTCATAAAACCCATTTGAAACGTAGCTCGTAGAAGTCGCACTACATGGTAGTGCTGCAAAAGATCAATTGAAAAATATACTTTTTCACAAACTATTCATCTTGTAATAACTTTCTTTGTCTCCACTGCCCTCTGCAGGCCTCTATGGACGATTTTATTGGCAACAGCAACCAAGAAAACCCTTGGTGAGAAGGCGAATCCATCTCCTGGGACATTAGGCACCGTGTGCATCATTTATCCTGTGATTATCCACATCAACTCATCTTGGACCATTGGTTTTCTCAAATGCTGACTACTGGCCTCTACAATCAGTCTACTTCGATTTTGGTTTAAACCGGCAGCACTTGAAGGCACACTGCCATCTCCTGGTCATTTGTTTTGATATGCTCATTTCTATGCCTTGATTTTTTATTTATTATGATTGTTGGTATATACTCCAATAAAATTTTAGCACATTTGTATCTCTGCTTGTACTGTTGTTTTATCATTGAGCGGTCTCATTGACCTGCCATCACAATACACTGAATGGAAATTATTTTAAATGCAGCTGATAACCATATTAGAGTGGCTGTGAGACAACAGGTGTGCTTGATGTTTTTCACGTTAATAGTTCAAGGCCAAAAAACAGGGCATTTGTCGTCAGAAATGGGAAAATGCTTAATTTATTCATGCCACCGAAATATCCAATGTGTCAAAATTATGCAACTCAGACATACTGAACACCAAAGACAACCTTTATTCCTGGTCAAAGTAATGAATCCATGACTGAACCTGAGTTTAAATATGCATCGTCAGTGCAGCATGATTGCTTATTCATGTGAACTTCAGTGAGAGATGGTTTGAGCCCCTTCTTTGCACCTGTTACAACTTTGATGCACTCATTACCATACAAGCAGTGACTCGGTATACAGGAAGGTTGGCATTTAGTTTTACAGTCTCAATAAAGTTCATTTACATTAATACACAAGAGAAGAACACTACAGTCTTTACAATGTTAGCAGGTAAATGCTCTACAGCTGCTGGTGAGAGCTGGACAGGACGTTTCATTTCACTTGGTGGAACAGCTTGTGCGCCACCTATAAAGAAATGAGAACACAATTAGCATCTTTGAAGTCAAACACACAAATCAAGTCACATGCAGTCGGGTTTCTCCTATGCCATTTGGGCACTTACACAATGGTCCCGTGCGTGCAGAAAGTCAAAGAGTTCTTCTGTGCATTCCTCTAGTGTGTTGGATTTAGAGCCGACTCTGCTTTCACATGTCTCGAGCAGCTCCTTGTAGTGCACGCAGTGTTCAGTCTCCGCACACTTGGTTCTAATCGTTTCTAAAGGATCCTGAGGGGACAAAAAGCAAAAGTGGTAAATCATGGGAATTTGCATCTAATTTTACTTAAATGATCAATTTTAGAATACAACGCGTGCTATCAGATTTATAATAATGCATACTGCTGGACAGCTTTTGAAACTACATACAATTGTTTGTCGGATTCTGAATCTGCAAACTAAATCAAATCATAAAAATGTAGGAGCCAAACGATTAATATTAGTTTCTGCAAAACAGAAATATAAAGTAGCAGACATTGAGAAAAAAATATTTGGACATAAATCATTTGTACTGAAATGTTACTTTTATAGTTACTTTCCACGACTGAACCAGACAACTGTATTGATATAATCATGGCCTTTTTAAATGTTGCCCATTTCTCTAATTAAAATGGTGTGTTGCTCTGTGTTAAGGTATTTAATGTGATTAGTACACATACCTTAACATGTTTCTTTATATAATCTGTTTAATATTCCTTCTGTCATATATTTATGTATATATATATATATATATATAAAAAGGTGATCGCCGAGGTCCCGATCACCTTTTTTTGCTCCCGATCAGATTCCGATCATTTGATTTTGACAATTTGCCAATACCGATTTTTCCCGATCCGATCTTTATGCAATGCATTAAGAGAAAAAAGGTTTTTTTTTTTATTTAAATTGGATATTCTATCCAACATGGATATAGCTTCTTTCTTTCACAGCAGCATTGGATCA